GGATGGTAGAAAGAATAGCAGGTGCGTTGTAGTGATCTTATTTATGTTAATGTGGGTGCTTAAACGCAATGCCTTGTGAGAATATATACCATCCCATCCCTGCTTGTGTAATATGTTCCTTATTAAAGTCATAGTCATGATTAATTATCACTCTTCTGAGAAGACCTCAATGGTGTTTTATTCCAAAGAAGCAAATTAAAATTAATAAATTTGAAAGAAATTGAAAGTTGTAAAATAATGGTATCTCATTTCTGTGCTTTTTAGATCCTATAGAGACAGTATAAAGTGAAGATGGAACAATGCTGCAAACAGTTACTTTCAGTTGCATGTCTAGATATGCATTATATTGCATTGTGTAAAAACAATTTAATTGTAAAGGGTCTCTAGTATTATAGGATCTGTGTGAAATTCCAGTAGTTTGTTGCCAAATACTCATTTAGTGTCTTTTGCCAAATAAAGTTTAACTGCCTTGTATGAGGTAAAAATGGTTGTAACAAAAATGCAGGTTGAAATCAAGCCTTCAAAAGCATTAAACCCACATTAATATTTGCTCTATCTAGTGCCAGATGATTTTACTCATTAGTTAATTACTGTAATACTGCAAGTGAACTGTTTAACAGAACTCGTCTATCTGTATACATGGTCATTACTCCACTGTTGTCACTGCTTTGTTTTTAGGAGCCGACCATTTAACTTTTGAGGGGGGGGGGGTTGAGTTTGAAAAAAATTTCCTGCAAGGCTATTCTGAACAAAAAAATACCTGCACTAACAAACTGAGGGAAAAATATCCTGCCCCATTATTTGGTGGGAAAATGTTGCAAAACACCATGGTTGCAGGGATCGATTTGACCAGTCACAGAAGATCAGCTGGTTTGATTTTCAGGGACTAGTGTAAGGTTAATTTCTTGTTGGAAAACTCCTCAAAGTGAGCTTCAAGAAATCCAAAATTTTCTGGGGGGGCATGCCCCCAGACCCTTCTAGAGGCTCCCACCTTTGATGGTCGACTCGGTTGTCTCAGAATCCTAGGTATCACTATGGCCTGATCTGCTGCCCTATGGTGCATACTTATTAGTTAAACTATGCATACATATGCTGCAAGTAGCTGCAGCAACACATACTTGCCGACTGGAACTTCTCCAGGTCCCCCGCTAAATATGTCCCTTCCAGTTACAAAATCCTTACAGGGCCTTTGCTAATAATCATTTTCAAAATCATGCAGACCTTTATCATTTAATCCATGACAAACTGCAAAGGATGAAGATATTACCCATATTTTCCTGCAACTTATCCAATATATAGTTCATTAAATACGCCTTCGTCCATTTAGTACTACTAAATTGTAAATTTCAACATACTAAAACGCTGGTTTCTGACCATCAGAATTCTGTCAAATCTTCCCCAAAGTCCAGGAAATGGCACTTCAGAGACTTTACATTTAAAAATTTCCTCGGGCCTTCGGCCCTCGCTTTCAGCCCCCCCCCCCCAATCGAAAAGAGCTTCCTATGGCCCTGCCTTAAAAGAGGCCCTGAACCAAATGTTATATATCTCATAGCAATATGTATTATTAAAAGCAATGCATGAAGCTAGAAAACTCAACAAAAGATCCATACTCCCCTCACGGAGGAAATTTCTGCCGTCCGGAGGGGAGAAAAAATTGTTTCTGATAACAGTAAATGTATTAGGACATCCGAAGGGGGTAGGGGGGTTAACTTCCTATTTCCTCTGTGGGGGTGGTATGGATGTTTTCTGGAATGACCCAATAGTATAAGCTATTGAAAAAAAATGCTGCGAAAGAGAGTGGAAAAAAAATCATACATGGTGATGGGATAGAAAAAAACTTGCACATAATGATCCCAGAAAAAAACTCCCTGCCAGCAGTAAATCACCCCCTCCCCCCCCTCAAAAGTTAAATGGTCGGCCCCTCAATTCATTTGTTTCTTAATAGTTTTGTCTTTTTACTGTAAAATGACTAAAGTAAAAGTACTGTTACTGTAAAATTACTAAAAGTAAAAGTTTGTAAGCAGTACTGTAGTGTATTTTAATGCAATTGTAATGTGTGTAGGTGTGTCAAGGCAGCAGTCAGTCTCATAAAATATACATATTATGCTGTTTATTAATTGATCTGTATTATTGAGGGCAGAACATATATTAACAATGTCACAATTTTTTTGAAACCTAAAAGCCTGATTTACTCCATGAAGAAAAGACAAAGCTAAAATGATCTCAGCAGGTTGCAGTATTCAGTCAACAAACAATGTTTTATAACCAATACATTTTTTTATGATTAGGCTGATAGATTTCACACAGATCCTATAATACTAGAGACCCTTTACAATTAAATTGTTTTTACACAATGCAATATAATGCATATCTAGACATGCAACTGAAAGTAACTGTTTGCAGCATTGTTCCATCTTCACTTTATACTGTCTCTATAGGATCTAAAAAGCACAGAAATGAGATACCACTATTTTACAACTTTCAATTTCTTTCAAATTTATTAATTTTAATTTGCTTCTTTGGAATAAAACACCATTGAAGTGATAATTAATCATGACTATGACTTTAATAAGGAAGTACATATTACACAAGCAGGGATGGGATGGTATATATTCTCACAAGGCATTGCGTTTAAGCACCCACCATTAACATAAATAAGATCACTACAACGCACCTGCTATTCTTTCTACCATCCTGAATCATTTGTTCCTTTAACAAATCCCACAAGCGACATAATTTGTTTGCGTTGATTAGGTCGATAGAAACAAATATGAGTCTTGTCCATATAAAATTCACCATTTCCAAAACAATAAAGTTCATGACCAATTTCTCATGTGTTAACTTATGGTATAATTCACCGATCTCTATCAGAAATTCCCATTTGAAAGGTGTTGTCACGACTGTATTCATGATTCATCTCAGTCGCACTCAGAAACGTCGTCAAAAATATAGACACGTTTCTTTACTAGTTTCATATTAATCTGACACTGCAATCGAGCAACGAAAAATTCGTTGGCTCGAGCGGGATTTGAACTCGCATCTTCGGGTATCTAGACCGAATTTTTCGTTGCTCGATTGCAGTGTCAGATTAATATGAAACTAGTTTTCCTATCTCTGAGGATGGTTCTGAAATAGAATTGAAACACTGCGCGTCCTCAAAGACAAGCGTTAAGTCGTCACGAAAATATTTCGTGCACTTAAATTGGATAAGACTCGCTACCAATCCTTGTTGACTCGATAGCTCAATAGGTAGAGCGGCGGTCTAGATACCCGAAGATGCGAGTTCAAATCCCGCTCGAGCCAACGAATTTTTCGTTGCTCGATTGCAGTGTCAGATTAATATGAAACTAGTTTTCCTATCTCTGAGGATGGTTCTGAAATAGAATTGAAACGTTTCTTTACGATTGAGTTCATTTGAATGTAAAAGAGGTCCCCAACATTCTTGAACATGTGCTTTTGGTTAAAATACCATATTTGACTTGATTTGTTCCTCTATTGCGAGATAACAGAACAAAACAGTTGAAAATACCGTATTAATCACAATAGCTCACTCCTCAAGCTCACTCCTCCGCGCGCGACTTCCGGCTTCAATTTCTGTATCTATAGTTGCGCTCTCCATATATTTATAGCTCAGTGGTTTCCGGAATTACAACGATGGTGGCGCGACTAAGTTACGTCAATTTCCGATCGTACTCGAAAACCTGACCAAAACAAGTTTCAGAGATTGAGGAAAACCTGTTTGCTTTGCTATTAATAAATTTGCATAGAAACAAGAACATGGCGGAAAAGGCGACGCATAGTCGTTTTAACCCAAATGAATCTTGGCTAGAAGGCAGAGGATCGTGGTTAACCTATGGGGTTATCGTTTGTATAACACATCTGGCTATTCTTAGTATTCCTTTTATTGGTACGGCTACTGCCTGGACTTTGACAAGCATCACTCATTGCATTGTAAGTCGGGAATATTATGACCACTTTGTTTAGTACTCGAATTAATATTTAATTGTACTGTACAAATACTGTGGCTGACGATAAATTGTTTTGTAATTTCTGTCTCTATGATTTCTTTAATATAAATCTGGCAAATTTCTAGGAGAAATCATAAATAATGTGAAGCGAAAATGTCCCCAGCCCCTGAAAACATAAAATTGGGTCTCACCTCTGCAGAGGCACTTAACTGGAAAGCTCTTTATAGGGGCCACATCCATATTCAAGTTGCCACAAATAACGTCGAATCGACGTTATTATTTCACCCACCCACCCCAGTAACGTCGATCGATATTCAGTCACATTTTGACATTCGTATTTATAATACAAATTTTTTACTGTACTGTGATAGTTACTTTGGACATTAATTCGAGCATCAATTGTCAAATTGCCACAAGATAATGTCGACACGTTCACATAAAAACCCAGCCACCCATGTGGCAACATGAATATGGATGTGACCCCTTGGCACTCAAAGCTTGGAGATTGTGTTCCGAATATTTCAAAACTGTGCAAGTAGTATAGGTAAATTGCATGTTGGTGGTAATAAAATGGACGAATCTCATTTAATATCTTTCATTGAATTTGAAACCAACTGCAACATGACGTCACTACCAGACAATGAATATTTGACCCACTTGTATGACCCCCATGAATATTTTACCTACATTGCATTGTGTATACCTAATCAGGATTCAGGGGCAAATAATTTAAAAGTGAACCTTTTTTCTGTGCTAAAGTGCCCCATCTAAAGAACGAAAAAAGTATTTCTTGAATGAACACCCTCTTTTGCTGGAAAGAAGTGCCCTTTTTGCAGTAGTAAAGACTCTGTAAAGGCCATTTCCAACGTTATAGAGACTCCATATTTTTAAAAAATTTCTTTTGTCATGTGAACAACATCAAATTGTTTGATTTTGGTCATATACAAGTGGCAGCACTCTCCCCTTGGGCTTAAATGATGAGTAAAATTATCTAGTGTTAGACAAAGTAACATAATAAAGTAGGGTGCATCTAAGCACATTACCACTTGAAGGGTTAACAGGATGCATGAGCAAATTAACTCATTGAGTATGTGGCAGAACTTTTCCCTATTTAATTATTGGCATAGTTTAATTAGCACCAGGGGTGGAAAAAATATTTTATTTTCTGGGACCGCAACGAAAAGTGTAAAATTTTCTGCGAGTTGTCAACACAAATCCTGTATAATTTAGATTAATTAAAGGCTCACTTGCAAGAGGGCTAATAAGATTTAAGAATTGTTAAATAACCATAGTACCATATAAACGCTGTGGAAAGGATTTAATTGAAATAAACAAGTGAGAAAGAGTACTGTGAATTTGTGAAAACTGGAAAGCAGTTTTTAAACTGTATTAATATTTGCATCATAAATTAGTAGTCTGAAAACAAACATGATCTGGAAGTTGGACAAAAGTTATTGTAAGTTTTATGTTTTTGTTTGCCTTTATGGAAATTTGTGCACTTTCACAGTGAGTGGACATTTTGTTCTGTATAATGAAGCAATTGCCCAATGGAAACCTCAGACTTCAACCGTATGATTTTAATATTGATCAACAAATTGTGTACTTTCAGGTACATTTCAAGCTTTCAACATCAATTGAAGTTTGGTTAGGAAACTACTTGAAGTTTACCAAGGGCATAGAACGTACAGTAATGTTTTACTAAGTGCATAGAACAGTAATGTATATGCGCTATAGAAATATTGGGTGCCAGGCGGGGGGAATAAATGTCCATCTTTTGTTTATTCCGTGAGAAGACAGTATGCAAAGTCTGCCAGTCAAGAGAAGTTGAAACGGAACATCACTTCCTAACTTCCTGTGAAGCCTATAGTAGTCTTCGTGAAAACTTTTTAAATTACTTGGAATGTGATCCCACCAATGAAGCAGATATAAACGAACACAGTTTACCAGTTGAGATAATGAAATCAACTGATAATGAAACTTTGATAAAATTATTGAAATTTATCCTTTATGTTTTGAGAAGAGATCTAAATGCTTTGAAGCCATTAATGCTGACAGTCAATAGGCTGTTTAACTAAAACCCAAACTTCTTCAATTATATATGCTGTAAATAGGGTACTCATATGTAAACTAATTAAGTCTTCCTTCATATCAATATAAACTTCATTTCTATTTCTTGTATTACTTGATACTGACAGTATGTCATACTACCACAAAACATTTTGCATTTGTAAATATTTATACCAACTAATAAGCAATACTTGTATGTAAAGTCATGCTAATAAAGTCATTTGTTACTGTTACTACTTCCTATAGAAATAAAAATTGGGAATCAAAATTTATAAGGAGGCAGAGGGGAACGAGGGGATAGCAAATTTTGGAACCAGGGCAGTGGTATGATACAAAACCAACAAAGGGGGTAGAACAAGGTTGCCTGCAAATGAGGCTACATTCCACTCTCAAAGTTCTTTTGTAAATTATTTTGGGGGCATCACCTTCACCTAGTGTCTGTCCCTGAACAAAATGGCTACTTATTGGTGCAGTTACTTTTTCTTTCTATTTTTTCTTTCCCCCTTTTTCTGCCTTCCCTTTTTTCTTTTTGCTAGCATAAAATGGGTCATTCCAGAAAACATCCATACCACCCCCACAGAGGAAATTGGAAGTTAACCCCCCTACCCCCTTCGGATGTCCTAATACATTTACTATTATCAGAAACAATTTTGTCTCCCCTCCCCTCCGGACGGCAGAACTTTCCTCCGTGGGGGGAGTGTGGATCTTTTCTGGAACGACCCAATATTTTCTGGGACCAATGATCCCATGGTCTGCTATATTTTCCACCCCTGTAGCACCTGTCGAGAAAGAGTTAATTAAACAAATTGTAATTATATTATTCTAGGCAACCTACTATTTTCTACACTATTTGAAAGGAAATCCATTTGAAAACTCAGTTGATGGTGGCTCTCAAGGAAAAGATCGCAGGTTGACTCACTGGGAACAGATTAATCAAGGTGCACAAAATACATCAACAAGAAAGTTCATGACTCTTGTGCCAGTCATTATGTAAGTTAAACTTTTAATTTTAATTTGTTTTTAACACAACCAATATAATTTTATTTTACTGAAATTATAATTAACAAATATAAAACATTTTCCGTGTTGATATACAGTAGTATCAACACGAGTGGAAATTGGGAAAACAAGAAATTGTGTGGAAACACGACGCCCGAAGGGCAGAGTGTTTTCACACAATTTCGAGTTTTCTCAATTTCCACGAGTGTTGATATGGAGTAACTCTATATCAATACGTAAAAAAGTTTTATATTTGTTTTATAATATAGCACAAAGAAACGTAAAGAAAGAAATTTTCCGAAGTTTCTGTGTTGACATGAATTATATCAACACAGCTCTCAGCCAATCAATGTTCAGAATTTACAAATGCTATATTATAATAACTTCTACTGCTTGCATGTTATTGTTCTCATTGATTGTCTGTAATTAATCACCTGAGGTATATATGATCTAGCTATATTGCTCATTTGCAATCGACGCCATATTGGTTGATTTTCAAAATACATGTACGTGGCAACTATAAAATTCATATTCTTCATTCTTTGTCATATGGAGCCAAAGATGTACTGTGAACTATCCATAATACAGTAACATGAATTAAATAAAATAAAATAATAAAATTATTAATTAAATTATTATTTTTGAATGTTTTCAAAACAAAATGTTAAATTATAACTCAACTATACAGTACTTAGCTGTAAACGGCTTAACAAAATATGTTTGCGATGTTACTCTGAGTGCATATCCACACCGGGCGAGCTTGAAAAATGTGCCCGGCCACGGTGGATTCGAACCTACGACCTTTGGCCCGGCCACGGTGGGATTCGAACCTACGACCTGGCCACGGTGGGATTCGAACCTACGACCTTTCAAGCTCGCCCGGTGTGGATATGCACTCAGAGTAACATCGCAAACATATTATTCACATGACAAAACACCAACACAGAAAACAAAAATTCATATGGCTTAACAAAAGTTTAAAATCAACCAAGATGGCACCTAATGACTCGTAGTGACGTCGTGTGCAAGCAAAGAATAAGTGGATCAAGAATTGATCAACCCCTTCAGTTTATACTTACTATAATTAAATTGGCTCCCAATTTATCAATATGAATTGCTGCCTGCAGTTAAAAACCATTATGCATTCATATATGATACATCCAGTTCAATGTATTATTTACAACATGAGCGGCTGTGTTATATACAACACAAACGCAAATTTCTTGTGAAACGTCTTGATGAGAACATTTGTGTTCTTTACCAATAAATGTTTATCTCTACTTCTGGCCAGTACACTAGGACTCTGGATCACTGATCTAATAGTAGAGTGGATATAGCTTCTCTAGGTGTGAAAAGTGAAGCCAAATAATATATGCAAAAATCACTTCCGGGGACCACAGAGTGATACAAATTACTATAGAAATGTATGGCAAACAACGTGAACCAAGGTGAATTTTCCCGAATTTGAGATACTTTGCGAAGTTTTACCAAGCTGATCGCTCCACCGTGGGTAAAAGATGTTATGTTAATGCTTTTAAAACGAAAATTATCCAGATTGCCCTAAAAAATCGTCAGTTTTGTTCGTTCAAAGTTGTCCATGTGGGAATAATATTTTATCGCCACAGTGGTATGACAGCACAATTTCTAGTTTGCTTTCCAATTACGGAGACAGAATATGATCAAGCAAACTTTTAAAGAGAAGTAAGAGTTCATTTATCATTTATGCTTAACCTTGATCGACCAGAAGGTTTCAAACTTTCAAATTACCATCTTAATAAGCCTTTTTACAAAATATATATATAGTAGTCAGTACATTGTCTAATACTGTAATTGTTCTAAAGATATGTGATAAATATATTTGTACTTTTAGTACTTGTTTTTATTTGTTATTCTGTTAAACTGGAAGACAATCTTAATGAAGCTTTCTGTAGTAAGAGTGAATCTACTTTTATATTGCAGTTGAATTTTGAACTTTCATTTGCAGAGAGTAATTTATTGTTCTTATGGTGCAGAGACTCCAGAGGCTGAGTGTATTATTCATTAATTTTGATCATTCATTTATATATAAACGTTTGTTATTGTAAAATATCCATTGATGCTTTTCCACCAAACTCCCAGTATATACAGGGTGTCCCAAAAATGTCCCCTCTGTTGTTGGTTAATTACTGTGAGTAAAGCCTGGTTTCCATATGGTCATAACAGTCATAAAAATAGAGTCACAATTTTCTCAACGGCCAGTTTATAATAGTTTATACCTGTAAATCACATATAAATCATAAGTATTCTCTAGTTATAATCACTCTGCATATTTTCAGTTCTAAAATGTTGTATATCGGCTGATGAGAAAGATTGTGACTCAATCTTTTGACCATAAGGAAACCAGGCTTTATAGTACTTTATAGTACCAGTGGCGCCGTGGCCGGTTTGTCGGAAAATTACTGCCCTTGCCCCCCAAACATGGGTCCCATGGCGCCACTGCCAACAACAGAGGGGACATTTTTTGGGACACCCTAATACAAGTGCCTGTGGGTTTATACACACCCCAAGCCCAGGGGTATTCAAAAAAGAAACACTGGTTGCAGTTCAAATCAAGCCTTAATAAAATATTTTTCTTCCTGGCAGCAGGCTTCCCAGACCAAAAATTTCCTGCCAATTTTTTTTATAAATTTGAATTTTGGTTGTAATTCAATAACAGCGTTGTGTATTTAACAATTATTCACTGAAGGCGAGGTGATTAGTTGGGAAGATTTGAGTATTTGACCAATCAACATGTAGGATTTGTTATGTTCACTTGTGCAAAAATACTAAACTACCTTACTAATTAGTCATATACTACCTCAATATCAAAAAAATATAGGTTTACTAGAATTAGAACATGAAGCAATTCTATGAAACAGTATTTGAATTTTATTTTCAGATTGTAAATCTGAATTTATATCAGTATTCATGCACTATTCAATAATTGTAGTACGCCCTTGTTTTCCACATGTATCATAATCATGAATCATGCATGATAACAGACAGTCGTATATATCACTGCCACATGATACAAATTTTTATGTTATGATTGTTGTATTTATGCTCTAATTGTGATGTTTGTTACTTTAATGCAACCTCGTACCCAGGATGACTCTTACTATAAAGCCTTTTTACAAAATATATAGACATGTCTTAGTTGGTACTATAAAAGATATTTGTACTTAATTTATAGATATTGAATGATAACTTAAATTACAGATAATTTCATCAATAATTGGCCAAGGCAACCTAAAAAAACATGTATATTTTATCTTCTATTGTCAGAATATTATATCACACTTCCTATAAGTTGCCTGACAATTTGAGTTGAGTCCATCAGTGGTTGAGGTTTAATTAAGCAGATTATTATTTCAAATTAACTTTGAATATATTTTATATTTGTTCTTATATTTATACTCAATTTATAGATATTGAATGATAAATACACCCCACATTTTAAATCAATTTTATTGTTCTAATTCAAAATTCAACTTCACTATTAAAGTAGATTCACTCTACAGAAAGCTTCATTAAGGTTGCCTTCCAGTTTAATAAAAAAGTACTAAAAGTACAAATATCTTTCATAGTACCAACTAAGGGGCTGTTTATATGAGAGGCGGGACGGGACGTTTGCCTGGACGGGACGATTTATGCATCCCGGGTTGGAAGCTGTTTACATGATCCCGCTTTGCCGGGACGAGATGTGAGGCGGGACGATTTTGACGTATTGAAATAAGTCACGGTGCACGATTTAGCAAAATCACATTATTTTTCTCAGTGATAGATTACAGTATAATTGTAAACGAAAAGTTGTTGAAGCAGCAATAATAATCTTCTTGAACTACGAGATATTCTTTAACATTTGAGTTTCTTTAACAGTTGTTTGAAAGTTCGTTTAACTTAAGCCTAGTCATTTATTTCAATACACCAAAATCATCCCGCCTCCCGTCCCGGCAACAAGTGTTTACATGGAAGAAAACGTCCCGGTTGAGGCGGGATCCCGGTTGCACAAACCGGGATCCCGCTTGCCCGGGACGAGACGAAAAACGTTCCGCTTCCATATAAACATCTGGCGATAAATATAATAGAAATTTATACAAGCCGGGATCCCGTTCATCGTCCCGTCCCAGCAAACGTCCCGTCCCGCCTCTCATATAAACAGCCCCTAAGACATGTCTATATATTTTGTAAAAAGGCTTTATAGTAAGATGGATAATTAAAAGTTTGAAACCCTCTGGTCGATCAAGGTTAAACATAAATGATAAAATGAACTACTAACTTTCCTTTAAAAGTATGCTTGAGTATAGTAGATCATATTCTGCCTCCGCAATTGGAAAGCAAACTAGAAATTGTGCTGTCATACCACTGTGAGTCTGTGGCGATAAAATATTATTCCCGCATGACTCGCATGGATAACTTTGAACGAACAAAACTGATGATTTTTTAGGGCAATCTGGATAATTTTCGTTTTAAAAGCATTAACATAACATCTTTTACCCACAGTGGAGCGATCAGCTTGGTAAAACTTCGCAAAGTATCTCAAATTCGGGAAAATTCACCTTGGTTCACGTTGTTTGCCATACATTTCTATAGTAATTTGTATCACTCCGTGGTCCCCGGAAGTGATTTTCGCATATATTATTTGGCTTCACTTTTCACACCTAGAGAAGCTATATCCACTCTACTATTAGATCAGTGCTCTGGATACACATATTATAAGGATGTTGATATTTTCTGGATACATACATATATATACATATATTATTTAGCTCACTTCCCATCGGGGCTTTTCGGTGACCAATTACATCAAGTATTATGCTTAATATACTTGTGTTACCTATACTTAGCCTACACGGTAAAAAACGCCGAGCCCGCTGCTCAACAGGATTGAACAATGTTTTGCTGCCCACGTTGTTTTCACTTGTCAACAATATTGAACAATATATTATTGAGCCTCAATGGGTTGTAACAATATTGTTCAGTATTGTTGACAACTGTGAACAATGTGGGAAGCAAAACATTGTTCAATCCTCAGTGTTTTCATCAATATTGCATCAACCTGAGCGTTGCCCAGCACAAGTGAATGTCATGACAGGCTCACAGGCAAGTACACGTTTTGTCTTGCTTGCCTGGTTGGGCAAGTTGCCTTGCCACAAAAAGCTGGGCATCTTTATACATTTACAGTATGTTTTCATTGTCAGATATAAATCTTTTATAGTGCAAAGCTACGGTACAGTAGATCTGAGGAAGTACAACATAGCCATATAGAGCAGTGGGAGAACGGGTCAACATGTTGTCCCCTTAATTTATACCCCCTACCTAGGTACCCCAGTGGTACCCGCCCTGATGGCAAGTGAATTTTATTCAGGGCAACTAATTTTCATGTCGAACTTGCCCAGAGGGCAAGTGGTCAAAAAGGTAAAGTTACACCACTGTTTACAACAATTGTGATATTATTTTCCTAACTATGTTCATCCTAATCCACCCTGTCAACTTCCACCCTGTCATCCAAACTTCCTCTTGCAATCAACTGATTTGTAAACCCATATGTATGATGATTTGTAAACCCATATGTATGATGCAGAATGACATGAATGAAATTTTTAACAACACTCCTGTTTATAACTTTAATTTTTTCTTTAGATTTATCTTGGCCAGCTTTTATACAAAATATGATTTACTGCATTTTCTTGTCAATACTGTTGCTCTTGCATCAGCCCTAATACCTAAATTACCACAACTACACAAAGTCCGTCTTTTTGGAATAAACAGATACTAGAATGTACACATGTGCACTGGCTGGTGTTTTCTGTAGCATATTAACATAAATAAAATTTATTATCAAAGAAAGTCTTGATCAAATTCCGCAATATGTAAATACCTAAAATGATGATTTAATTTGTACTGGAATTGCACAATATAACTAATTTACAATACACAGTATAAACTTGATCACCTTTAAAAATAAAATGACATGCAAAAGTAAAAGAGTTTAAAACATTTTTCATTTATTGCAAGCAACTTGCAATACACCCTTTCGATAATTTGGGAGGAGGAGCCTCGTTCTCAAGAAAGAGATCGTGGCGTAAAGCCCTGGCCAAACTAAGAAACATTGTTGTGGAAACATTGTTTCCTGCCAATGTTTCGCCATGTTTCCCAGAGTGAGCAAACACTAGAAAATATTATTGAGAAACATAGGGAAACTTCAAGTGTTTCTGAATTCGCTAGGAAACATTAATTTGCTTCTCGGAAAGCAAATTTTGTTTCCGCAACAATGTTTCCACGGGTGGGCAAACAGGGAAACATTGAGGAAACATCGAGACACTCAATAGCATAATAAACAAATGCAAGCAATATAAGTTTTATTTTACAACGACGTTTCGATGCTAATTTACGCTAATTCATTTTCAAGTTGAAATAATTTACATAGTTACATTATTGCGATAATTCAACTGTTCGTGTCACGTTAGCAAACTAAATTACAAAATAATAAGAAATCGTAAGTACTAAGTGCGATCAGAATATTACAAAAACACATACAACATACATGTACAGATACAAATAGTAACAAATTTACACCTTAACACTTACGTTCATATGTATACTTCGACTGTACAGCCAACATACATAATCTGCATCACACAGATCATATTTAAATTTATAGACAACGCATTGGCATTGATGTCTAAATGTTGTAAAATAAAACTTATTGCTTGCGTTTGTTTCAAAAAGTATATTCTGTATATTAAATAGAAGTTTATATAAGTTCCTTGTAGTTTTGCATGGCGAATAATAATATCAGTTTTGGTTTGTGGAAACGCCAGGTAAACTTGTGTCGTAGAGCTTGAGATCAGTACGCCTGAATCACAGAATAGAAACAAACAGAAGATCGACTTCTTGGTTTTTCCTATGATTTTGGCGTAACCGTAATTCGTCGACAAAATGCTGACGCCATCGTCACAGCCAGTGCGCTTATGAGAGGCATTCACCCCTGATATATTCAAAATTGTGGACGTCCAGGGCACAGAGTAGAGACATACAGAGACGTAACTAGTGTACCCACTTTTTTTGTGTGCATGCTCGGCAAGTTGCTAGATGCATGCATCTGATTGGATGACGACCTGATGACGACTCACTTTAAACTTGCTGAGCACCATAGATATCTTATATAGACTAGATAGCGCATCTCTTTTAGTAAAATTGAAGCCAAGAATATTCCAGCAGTTATCCCCATTCGAATAGATGGCGGCCATGTTGGAGTTTCCCACTCGCTAATAAACGCTTAAAAAACAACAATAACTTTCATCATTTGAATAGTTTGAAATGTATTTGGAATAGGTTTAACTTAATGTTTAAGTTCCCTGTTTAATAAATAGAAAACATACGAGTCTTCTCATTTCATGGGAATATCCTGAGTCTGCAGAATTGCAGAATTATTAGATTATTAGAATTATTGCAGAATAATTAGATGCACTATATCTAGAATCTAGTGTATATAAGATATCTATGCTGAGCACGCGCAGTTGATCATTTTTCGCCCGGTCGCCTGAAAAAAGTGGGTACATGAGAACGTAATCTTCCGCAGTGTTTACGACGGTCAGTTACGTCTCTGTATGTCTCTACTCTGTGTCCAGGGGAAGAATGTCTCTCATAAGCGCACGGCTATCTATGCCCATGGCGTCAGCATTTTGATGACGAATCATTGCGAATCATGGCGTGGCAGCGGTTACGCTTTTTTGGCGACCTTCTGTGTTTTTCTGTGTGTCTTTATTCACTGATCTTGGTCTTTATTCTGTGCCTGGATCTTCATCACTCATCAGTGTTAATAATAATAAATGACGTTTAATTCACTTGTTTGCTTGCGTCATTTGAAAGTTAATTAAATAGTCACATAATTTGGTCAGATATGGTTCTGATTATTAAACGCACACGCATATGAAGATACAGGCTTACAGATCGAAAGCTTGGCAAATAACAGGACAGACCCTGGGAACGAGGACCGAGGTTGGGCAAATAATTAATTTACGTGGTGTTTCCACAAACCAAAAGTGATGATAGAATTATTTAAGTTACATATCAGTAAAAAACATTTGTAGACTGTACTACTATGTAATCTATTTAATTTATTGTTCTGTATGACGTACAGTAATTGGGATTCACATGTAGATGCTGGTATCTTGACAAAAACACTACAATTACTATTGGTGGGAAAATAAATGGTGAAACCTTTGAATTTTTATTGAATTCGTTATTTACAAGTTAGAGGTTGAGTTATGCATGTAGCTAAAATATATTTTGCAGTTAGGCCGGCGAACGAGCAAACTAAGAAGATGCGGGGCACGTTGACGATGGTGAGCGAGGCGAATTACAGGGGCCTGGTGCATATTTCTGCTATGCACCACAGAAATATTCACCGCGCAAAAAGAATAATTTTACAGCCTGGCACTAACGCAGCATCAAGAAATTTTGAGGGCCTTTGTTGCTTTGTGAACCCCTTTGGCTCGGGCCAAAGTGCCCCCCCCCCCCCTGCCCCCTACACTCGGCAGGCTTGATAGTGAAAATTAGGAATCCAGGTAGACAGCTTTCTTAAACGTAAATTAATTCTGCTTTAAGGTGGAGTTACACGAGCAACAAAATTGCTGCAGCTTGCAACAAAATCTGATTTCAACGCTTGTCAAGCAGAAATGTCGTCACATGTTGCTTTGTGATTTGTAATTTATGTGTAAACATTTTCAAGTAACATGCGTAGAAATTAGATTTTATTGCAAATCATTTTTGTTGCAAACTGGCAAATAGGCAACGGCAAATAGGCAACGCACGCTTCTAGGCAAGCCACGATTGCAATTTTAGATCACCCCTGATGAACTAGACTGGAGTGTCGAAACGTTGATCATTTATTTAAACCAGAGTAGCGAGCGAAACATGATTGATATACCTGGTTGCACTGAACGAACAAACTTTAAATATTTTATCTTTGTTACAAAGGCACTAATTAACATAGCCTGCGAGCAGGCTATACACAACATCAATTCTCAACCAATCATGTTTGATTTGGAAACCCTTCATCATAGATATCTTATATACACTAGATAGTGCATCTAATTATTCTGCAATTCAAAAATTGAAGCCGTGATTGCAGTCTCAGGTCGTTCCCATGAAATGAGAAGATTCGTATGTTTTCTATTTCCTAAACAGGGAACTTAAACATTAAGTTAACCCTATTCCAAATACGTTTTTAAACTATTCAAATAATGAAAGCTATTGTTGTTTTTAAGCATTTATTAGCAAGTGGGAACGACCAACATGGCCGCCATCTATTCAAATGGGGGTAACGGCTGGAATATTCTTGGCTTCAATTTTACTAAATGAGATGCGCTATCTAGTGTATATAAGACTATGTGCACACGGTAACGTTTTCGAGCGTTTTCATTTGTGTTTTCACGCTAAAACGGATACAAACACTATCAGTTTATGACAGAAGTTGTACTTTATTTAATATATCCGAGATTGGTGTAGTGTACTCAGGTGAATATGATATTTGTGGTGTTACTCTGAGTGTATATCCACACCGGGCGAGCCTGAAAAATATGCCCGGCCACGGCGGGATTCGAACCTACGACCTTTGGAATACTAGCCCAATGCTCTTCCAACTGAGCTACGCGGTCAGGACGGTTCGAGTAAGATATATCCGAGATATTTTCCTTTGGGCTGTGCGAATACGGCGTCAAAACGATTTTACGGACAAAAACGTTTTTGAAAACGCTGCAAAACGACGCCCGTGTGCACATAGCCAAGATATCCAGAGAAGATATCTATGCCCTTCATGGTTTCCAAACCCCACAGGATGCGAGCCAGTTCGTTTGAATTTACATGAAGTATTAGACGGTTTTTCAATGTTCCACAGAAATGACAGAATAACAAATATTTAAATTGTTATTCTGTGGTTGTTCACTTGTTTCGAACTGAGAGAATATTAGATAAATTATGAAGTACAGATTACTAGGAAAGACGGGATTAGAAGTATCAATCCTCAGTTTTGGTGAGTATTGAAATTTGACGTTCGGAACAGAAAGCTGAAAGATGAGATTTTCTTATTTTCTTTGTGGGGTCACTGATCACTGGGGTGAATTTGGCTTTTATGTCTTTTATATTATTTCCAAGGTGTATGTTGTGTGGTTTTCAATTTTTGGTGGTTTGATCTTTGCAGTTTTGATCTGTTTCATGGTGTGGAAAATTTTGAAATTGTGCACCCGAGATTTTGAAAATTTATATAGTAAAATCTATATTATAATAATCTATAATATATATACAAAATCTGCATTATATCATCTATAATGTTATAAAATTTTGTAGATGGAAACAGGGATGTAGCAAGCCCCTAACCAGGCACGTAAATTTGGACAAGGCTGCCCCTGGTCCTACTGGAATTGAGTGCCCCAAAGGCAGGGGATCCTATACATCCTTTTGAAGTACCATGAAGCTCTGACAGTATGAACATTTTGCTAGTCATTGAGAAACGAATTTTAATGGTCTCTTAAACTGGAAAAAATAAATATATAGCAAAATACAAAAAAAAACACTTGTAACTATAAAATAACACTATGGAGAAATTGTTTTTGACATAAACAATGAAATGTTTTCCACTGTACGTATGCACATACAACCTTAAATGAACAAGGATCCCGGATATAGCACAGTTCAGGGTGCCCCTCTGGAAGCCTGACTGCCCGGGTGCCCCCGGCTCTTACCGGCAGGGGCGGATCTAGGGGTGATCAGAGCGATCACGCGACTAAGGTAAAAATTGGCCAGAAAAATGGAAAATTGTTAAATTAAAATAGCAGTCCAGTTATCAAACTTCGTGCAGTGTAATGTATTGAAAGTTTAACAGTCCAGTTTTGAAATATCATTCAGTAGCAAGGCCTTCGAACATGAACGCGCAGAAAAGCGGTCTTACGCATGAGTTTTGCACGCTCTGAGTCAGATTCCAACCATCTGATTTATCTCGATTTTTGCGCGATCTGTGGGGAGTTCTGATCGCTAAAGCGATCAGGGGCTCGAATACAGGCTATCCGATTGGCTAATTCAAAACAATCCTGAATTCCCATTGGCTGGATTTTTTTGATCGATCATACCGTTCAGGCTTCATTAGTGCACGGAAAGGTCTATGACGTTTCTGGCCCTTTCTGATCGCTACTTAATTGTGCTTGACCGCAAATTATTAAAGTTCAATGGGAAGATTTACTATCAGAAATTCTGAACTAATACGAGCCATATTTGTTAGTATTTACGAAACTGTAAAGGCTGCTTAAGAGAATAACGATCGACCAAATGTCAAAGATATTGAAGCTGATTTAAACGAGCGATAACGGTGTACCGAAGCTTTCTATTAAACTTTATTGAGCGTTGTGAATAACATAAGCAGCCTTCCTCGCACGAAATTTTGGTGCGGAATCTTACATCCTGAAGTACGTTCGAGAGAAGACAAAAATCTTTTGTAAGGCCTTAAGATAAATATATTCTATTTTAACTAGATATAGCATTATAACTGTTGTAGACTGTGGTGGATTGTGCGTCTGTATGCACATGCATGCTATATAAATATCGGCGGGTACGCGTATAAGACGTATAATAATATGAGACGAAATTTACATGATATTTCCGTCAATTTATATAAATACTGCGGCTTCATACAGGCAGTTTCAGTGTGTTTATACTTTGTTTATGTATCTTGTGACATGTAGACTTTATATATTAATCAGATCGCTACTTAATAACACTGTTTATATCTATTTAATATTTTAAACTACAAGAACACGACAATGTAGCATGGCCTTGTGTAATACGATCTCTACAACATGTACACAACAAGTAAAACGGATCATGTTGCCATTGTGAATACTTATTTATGGCGCATGTTTCTGCTACGAATGAAACTCGAGGAGCAGTGAATTAAACGTGGAAATTCTCTTCCTGCTTAACTATCAATCAAATGTTTTAAACTGCATCACTATATTGGATTTTTTTACCATCCATGTCAAAGGAAAAAATATGCGATTAAATAACAATTTTTAAAACGTCAAGTCATCCTTGTCAATCTATTTCTCGATGAGAATAGGATATCTGTCTGACATTTGCCGAAAAAGCAATTTCTTAAGTTACATTTTTTCGTAAACAGAACACATATAAAAAATATTAATTTGCTTCGCAACCCCCCTCCCCCCTCCGACCCCAGTCAAAAGTACCCCCTCCGCCAGTAAAAAGTACCCCCTCCCCCAATGTTCAGCAACAAAATTTTTGACTAACGTACGAAAAATCCTAGATCCGCCCCTGCTTACCGGGTAGAGCTCATAGGAGTTATGCCACTGCCCCCAACGTAGCGTAGTGTAACCTCCCCCCAACTGTGAGACTCCAAGTTTAAATTTTGACATTTTCAGGTAAGATGTGCATAATAAAGTCATTTTTGTGAAATGATAACCATATTTATAAAATACAGTCAATTTAGATCCAATTCGCTTGTGAATTTGCTTTACAGAAAACGCCAGTCGCCAAGTCCTGGAGCTTCAAAAATGTAAAAATTTTCTGATGGAGGATCCCCAGACCCCCTTATATATAATATATGAACAACAAGAGCGAGTATTTCACTGGGATATCCAAATTCGAGAAAACAATGTATGAGAACACGAGCGCGAAATATGGCTTCTCAAATGAATCGAGACGTAACAGAATGTTTTATTTTGCTGATTTGAATAGAATTCTTAACCAAGCATAACTTAATTAGGAATTCTATTCAAGTAATTTTGCATGCGTAATTAAGATATTTGATGAAAACACTAGTGACTTTCATCAAGTTTCACCGGGTTGTCCAAATGGCATATTAATAAATTATTAATGAATTTGAGAAATATATATCTAGGTCTAATATGATAATTTCCATCTTCCAGATCCTTCATCTATAATGTTATACCTCACACAAAGCTTGTCCAATCAAAGAATTGTGTTTATACCACATGACCATGATATTTTTCAGCAAATACCATGAGTCAATTTCCCAGGGCATGGTATTTGACTCCAATAGGACAAACTTCAAGGTCAATGAGTTAGTATTACATACAACTTAATGCATGTAAATATTTTTTGTAAAAAACAAGCCATGATAGCATAATGCATGGCTGCAACAACTGAAGGCAGTCCAAGTTGACTACTTGACTGGGGCCGTAGCCTGAAAATTACTAATTTCCTGTTCCATGTTTGAAATTATATCCGGTTTTGCAGACAAGAGAGTTTCTTCAATCATTTTTAGCATATATTACACAAGATATCATATTCTACTCTAATGCACTGTACTGTGCAATACTGTAGTGCAATGGTGGTACTATACTGTACTGTACTGTACTGTACTGTACTGTACTGTATTCAGTATTGTGTCACATTCTCTTGTAGTAAGCTGCTGTGATTGTACGTGTTGGGCTCTACCGGTATCTATCATTTGTCTTTATATTGTGTTTTATTGTCAGTGACTCAGTGTTCATTTTGAAGTTGCAAACAACTGATTACTGGCAAATAAAAAAAATTGCGTTTACCTTTTAGGTCAGTGTTTTGGTATTAGAAAACTGTAGATTGATAGTTCGACGTTTCGAGTGAATGCCCTATATTATTATCACTACCTACACTGGCACAGACCGTCCGTGTTTGTAGACGTTGTGCACAATGCGCATGCCTAATTGTGAAAATTACTGTGTATTAGATTTTGCATGTTAATTCTATAAACATGTGTAGAAGAATAAAAATTGCAGTGAGTACGTCGCCTTTCTTTTGCTCAAGGTGCGTCATCATTAGGCAGCGTATTTCGTTCAACTAAAGAATCCGAGTCCATTGAAGTTGTTCATGAAGCACTAAAGAGTGGTATTAATTATATTGATGTGGCACCTTGGTATGGTCATGGAAAAGCTGAGACAGTCTTGGGCAAGGTATACTAACAGTCTTTAAGAGAATTACAGGTCTCTATTCTCAAATTCACCCTGGAAGCACACCCATTTCGAGAGGAAAGAAATTAATACTCATGGTCCTACCACCCCCTCTTTTCCCTTTACCATAAAGAAATATATCTGTATTGTTAAGATGTATTACTTTTCGCGGAAAGAAATATATCTGTATTTTTAAGATGTATTACTTTTTCTTTTTTTTTTACTGTATTAAGATGTATTACTTTTTTTCTTATTTATTTTTTTGATGTATTAGTTTAAGCTGATCACATTCTCCTGAATAAATAAAGTGCCACTCTTTTAAGCCCCCTGGCCCCTCTCTAATAACCCTCCCCCCAACGTTCCTGAAGAGGATTTACGGAATTTTCAGTCTTCGCTATCTATTTACAGGTAAACTACTTGAAGAGTTTCTCTTTTGACTTTCTAACTCATTTGGAATTTTCCTCATCAGCTTCGCAAATTTGAAAAACTCTTTCAAATCCCTTGAGGGAATTTGCAATGTTCCTATCGGCTGTTGCAATAGTCCAATGCAAAAAAAAGTAAATTGTTCCTGTTTTAATTTCCTGACTTCCTGTTCTGTTCCGAGCGTTGTCATTGGTGGATTATTTTTGTTAGCCAATTGCAACGCGCAGAACAGAACAGAACGGAACAGAACAGAACAGAACAGAACAGAATAGAACAGAACAGAACAGAACAGAACAGGAAGTTAGTGTTACAAGTTCTTATAAACAGGAAGTTAAGAACTTGTAACAGGAATTGAGGAAAATTTAATCAGCTTTTAGCAACATTGCAAATTCTCTCAAGGGTTTGCAAGGGAGAGTTTTAAATTGTAACTCAAAAGAGGAACCCTTGACGTAGTTTACCTGTAACGGTAAAATTATAGATATTCTATAGGTGGATTAATCAACAAATTAATGGCTGCCGTGACGTAACGTACATTCCTTGTACAAAATATAAAGGAAAATGTACTATAGTCTGTACAGCCGGAATACACACTTTTTCTTTTGTAAAATTCTCGTGCATAATAATATATTGTCTTATTGAGGTAAGTATACATCAATTGAGAATGTACTTTAAGAACATCTTCTTACTTTATTGAACAATAAAATGAATAAATGATATTGGTAATTAAACTTTGTTTTTTCTGAAATCCTTTTAAAGCTTTCGGAGATGGGTTTTCGTTGTTTAATAAAAACATTAAAATATACAATCACGTGAACAAAACTAATTTTTCTGCACCCTGCGCCTACAAGGTCAAGGAACTGAAATATCTTACTTCGTAATCTAACAAATAACAATGTATGTAGCGAAGATAACAAACTATGCTTTTGTAGGTGATACAACTATTTGAAAAAGAAAAAACCCTACGTTTCGTAGATCCACGCTACTAACTTCCAAACGAAGGGCCTTCGCTCGAAACGTCGAAGTTCTTTTTGTATTTTTCAGGTATAGTTATAATTACATCCCTACAAAGACCACAGAATGTACATATTAGCATATTCTCGGCCGCCTAAATTTGTCAGAGACCGAGTTAAAAGTGTATGTTTCTTACAAATGGTTCACTTGACCATGATGTACATTATCAGGACCGCACTCAAACAATTCCATTGCAGAGCCAATTTCTAACGAGCCGATGACGAGTGATATTATATTCTTTGTCAAAAATATCGAAGATTCATAATGGTGCTCAGCCCAAATAAACGAACGTAGAATAAGAAAAGGTAAATTGATCAGCCCCATTTGAATGCCAGCTTTGATAACGGTTGTATTTTTTCTCGGTTTCACGTCGCCTTCTTTGTTTCCAGTCAGTTTATGTTGAATCAAAGCTAATGGGGAAACCACAAAATTCAAACATGCAAAGAAAATAATGCATGCGGTTGTTCCAGTAGAAAGTTCAAGAAACACCGGCCCAGTTTGGTGTTGAAGTAGGATTACCTCCAGCATTTCGATTCCGTCAAATAAATCCAGCGCAGCGGTGATTGAAAGAGTTAGTACAAATTTCCAATGTTCTGATGAGATTGTAATATTGAGAAGCAGGATAAGTAGTATAGGTGTAATACAAAGCATAAATCGTATTGCGTTAATCCCCAGACTTTCATCATTTTCAAGTTTATCAACTACGACACCAAATATAACCGCCACGATTGGCACAAATGCAAATGCAATATATGTAAACCAAACTCCCCAAACATAAACTACTTGGCGGTCGTTTTTGGCATACTCGTATCTCAACAAGAAGTAAAGAAATATGCAGATTGATGGCAGATATGCCACGAAAAATGCCCCGAAACTGCTGCTGATATGTCCAGCCATTATTATAGAGAATACCACTCCTTGACAAATGTATAGAGTAAAATAACTTATTCCACCAAGCCAGAGAAGTCGTTCAGAGCGAGCCATATTTTGGAAATTTATCGCGGATACCAATTCTCTGTATTCAGTTCAACTTAGCTGCACAAAGTGAAACAAACCAGGTCCGCATTAATAATATATTACGTCTATATCGTTCCCAAAACAGGTACCGTATTTACCACAGAACACAATGACCGAATGAAGATTAAAATTCCTCAGCCCAGTGGTGATCTGGCGTATGTAATTTATAGAGGTCTGACTTGGCAAAAAAAAACAACGTATAACCGGCTGCTCTGTGGTCGCAATGCAGTCGCCATGTTCCTAGTCAGTGTTTTTACGAGATGCACTTCCGCCCCCTGAACACCTAGACCAAGTCCGCTAGTTTGAATGTTTTCAGGGGGATGACGGCCTCTCCTTGCCCCACAGGCTAGGAACTTGGAGGCCAGTTACGCCAGTACCAAAGCTAGGCGCTGACACGAGGTCTGACTTCTGTTAAGTTTCTAGTTAAAGACGACTATAAAATCTCTTTATTATCCATGCTCAAACATAGTATTCGTGAGAATGGAATTTTAATAAGATCCAGCCGAAAAATATCAATCCGTACCAGAAAACAATATTTGACGCAGAACGTTTTTAAGTTAAAAGTCGGAAAAAAGTCGAAGTCGAACCCAACCTCGCAAGCAAGGGCGGTCGAATCTATTAAAAGGATCGTACTCAGCAGGTTACCGACCACTTACCCAATCAAAACTAATTTTCGTGCTGGACCACCTGGCCATGTAATAATAGAAATGTCTAGCTTCATGCACGTTAATTAGTCGACAGGCAAATAGAAATTTTCATGAGTCGCCACAACTTCGATCACAATTCACGAGTCGATCAAGTTACCGCGTCGCTGTGACAACGGAGAGATTCAGATTTGACTATACCACTACCGCTACCTTTCACTGGCTTAGTGGTTTACACATTTGATTGGTACCTGATTGGTTAATAGTAAAGGTAGCGGTAGTGGAAGTCAAAATCTGAACCTCTCTTATACTTCTTACGAGGGACGAGCTCCATGAATTTCGTCACGAATCATGAAACTCATTACAGCAGTGTTTCCACTCCCCCAAAAAATAATTTTCTTCTCCCGGCATAACCCGAAATTTCCTTTTTTTCCGAAATTTTTCAAATTTCCTTCCAAAAATTTTTTTCCAAAATTTTTATCAAAATTGACAGATTTACCTGGTAATTAACATCAAAACTCTAGTATTGAAACACATTATATTAATTTATAGCAGATAACTCTGTGATTTTGCAGTTTAAAATCAGCTCATCTTCGCGTGCAGTTTAAAATCAGCTCATCTTCGCGCCGGGCGGATAAAAAGCATAATAATTGGGGGCTACCTTTGCCGTGGGAGCGAAAAGAGATTCCATATTGTTTCTTGCATCCTTCCCCTGGACACACACAAGATTGCCCTAGGATCTTTCCTGCCAACACTAAGCGGAGTTGATATTTCAATATAGCGATTCTGGGGTCCTGTCCCAGATGCTCCAGGACTGCATTTATGGCATTTTTTGCACAAAATTGTGTGAAAATTGCCTTATTCTTGGAAATTATGAGAAAAAATAGAATTTCCTTCTCATTTCCCTCCTTATAACAATATTTCCTCCCAATTTCCTTTCAAATGATATTTCCTTCCAAATGATATTTCCTTCCAAATGTCCTTCCAATGGCCCAGATTTCTTTCTGGAAGGAAATTTCCTTCCAAGTGGAAACGCTACATTACAGTGCGTCTACAGTAAGTGGGGCCACTTGAGAACACTAACCAATCACATTGCAGAACGAAAATAGAAAAAAATCAACAAACGGCGCATTAGCCAATCAGCATTAGGCCAAAAACAATTTTAATAAATGAACAAATGTCAAACGGTATAAGAATAGACTTTACTGGTAAAAGTAAACACTGCAGTTACTGGCTTCCTGAAGCGAACTCTATGCTTTCTTTTGATTGGACGAGCTGCAGTTTGATTAGATTTCTATTTTTGTTCTGCAATCTGATTGGTTAGTGTTCTCTAAGTGTCTCCACTTACTGTAGACCATAGAAATAATAGATATCTATTATTTCTATGCTGTAAACGCACTGTAATTAATAAGTTGTAACTTGTAACTACTGTATATAATCCTGAATTGAACAGTTCGAAAGAACGCGGTATGTATGGTGTAGCGTTCGTTATATATCACTCATTATCAGTCTTAAGTATGGTAACTTTAAAAACAACTTACATGCATATAACCATCCCATGCTTTATACAAGCTATATGGATTAATTACAGCAAAAATAACAGCAGAGGAAATCAGTACCATGCATTGCCATTGGAAATGGATGGATATATCTTGTAAAAAATCATATGCTGTTTTTAATAATATTGCATTTGTAAATTCTGAAGGCTGATTGGCTAAGAGCCATATTGACATGACTCAAGCCTCAAGGTCATATTTGTGCTATGTTATATCATAGTTGTGCTATGTTATAAAAAAACCCAACATTTTTCCGTATTGCACTCATGGAAATTGTGTGACTGAAAAAACTCTGCCCAATTTCTCGTTTTCCCAATTTCCTCTCGTGTTGATATATAACTGTATATCAACACGAAAAATGTTTAATATTTGTTAAATATATAAACTTTATCGAACCGTATACAGTATTTACTCGTTTAAACGGCGCCCTCAAATAAACGCCATGTATGCTCTCATAAAAACTCCACTTTATTATCGTCGATGCGACGTTGAACTGAAGCACTTTCCTTAGTCCTGACTTCACCCTCCCGGGCACAAGTGTTTCAGTTTTTATTTTGAAACAAAGCGTTACAGTAATGATTAGTAGTAAACATATATGAAGACATTCCCATTATGTTTTTCACTTTGTTTAATTTATAGGCATTGCAGGGTGTTCCAAGAGATTCATACTATATAGCAACTAAGGTATTGGTCTTTGTATACTAAGTAGCTATACAGCAAGGGATATAGCAAAAACTAAATTAGAAATCAACTATTTGTCATTTTGTTACTATAGCATGCAAAATTATTGTTTAGTAATTGCTGCAAGTAACGCTTGTAGATAATAGTTGTCTGTCTTTTCTCCCAAAATTAATTTCAACCAAGGTAACCATGCACTGCCGCCGTATTGACATTGAGGTGAATAATTGTTTTAGCATATACCATAACAAAGCAAAAACGACCAAAAAAACAACGAAAATATTTTTTTTTAAATTTATATTTCAGCTCCGGTAATATACACGCGTAAAAATTGAGAAAATCAACAACTTGTTCCAGGTTGATATCAACAGGCGTGAACAAGGTTGTGCGGCCCACTATGAACAGTATTGTCAACATCTTACAGCATTGTTCAACTGTAACAACTTGGAACAACATGGTTGACAACTTTTTCATATAGTTGGCCGCACAACATTGTTCACGACTGTCGATATCAACTTGGAACAACCTGTGCGTAATTATTTGAAGCTTTTTGTAATTTTATTCATTAGGAATATAGCTTTAAAGAATACGTCTATAAAAGTGTTAAACAAAATTCTTTGTGGCTTCCTCGTGTTTGGCGTAACTGCGGCTTCGTTTAGTAAAAAATTGGTCGTCTGTAACCTGACAAGACGGGAAGCCATTTCGTTTTTGTCCTGATGTGAATAGTGCAACGATATCCGGAGCTGAGCGACCAATCAAATTGCGCGAAAAGCACTATCCACCTCTCGAGTATATGCTAACACCATGTATTCTCTTTGAGATATTAAATGTTAAATATACCGAAGTTTATGCTAATTTAGCAAACAAGCCTGATTAGCCTTTTTGGTGCTTTCTTGCACATTTCGAATTAGGATTATAATTTCACTTGCATGCATGCATGGGCCGTTTTCAATCAAAACTTTTACACTTCGCCTTAAATAACAGTCTGTGTTGAAAACTTGTTTACTAAACTGGTAATGAAAAATTGCAGTAGCTAGTTAATTCGAATCGGTCAATTACATGCCCATTTGAACAATTTCGCGAAGTACATGCAGTGGAACCTCGTTAAATAGCAGATACAGACACCTTAACTCATACGTCCGTTATTAACTGTTTGGGGCTTTTCTATTGTTTCATCCTCTTTTGACATATAATGTAAATAGACGCATCCTAACTATATTAATCTATAGCTAATTAGCTATGTATGTGCCAGCAGCAAATTAACAGTATATATAGATGCATGAGAGAAGCGTATAGGATGTATACAAGGCGATGGCCAGGTGTTCGATAGAGAGAGTCAAAAGTTCAAAATGGACAGTTGCTTTTTTAAATATCCTGCTATCTTTATTTATGACATACATATGTCAGTTATGAAAGTGCCCGCTGTGCAGAGTGTCTGTTAGAAAGAGGTTTCGTTCTATCTTTATTGCCAGATTCAGTGGATTCCTTTACCCTGTGAATGGAAGAATGTAGCTATATCCAGCTCGAAAGTGACAGCGAAAAGAAACAATATACTCGATTAACTGTCGCAGTCAATTTGATTTAATTAAATTTGACGAATTTTCTGTAGGTTGGCCGTTATCTTCCGGAAGTTGATAAAATGTTTGATTTTTCGAAAGAGAAAATTGTTGCTGGTTTTGAAGAAAGTCTAGAACGTCTTGGATTAGATTATGTGGATGTTCTTCAGGTTGGCGAAAGTCCTATATATTCTTTTGAACTTTTTACTTTGGTTCGGTCTACAGTGTAGTGTTCTAGATATTGGTAACCAAAAACCAGTACCAGCTGGTATAGTTAATTTTAATAAATGTTATACAAAACAAGATGTTGTGTTTCTTTTCCATTTATAATTTCCGCACGGAAAGCGAGTTTTAAGAACAACTGGACAAATTTTAGCACACGTATAGATATGTATTATAGTTGAACTGGGTTTCATTGAAGGCTCGTCGTAATATGATTTATAGGGGTACACATTATTCTAGTTTCTACTAATTTTTCAGGTGTTGGTTTTTACATTTTGCCATCTTGAAGAGAAGATCGTATCAAACTCGATGCTTTATAGCCTTTATACTAATAACTCTAAAGTTTCTAACAAAATAAATCAATCATCTTTACATTATGATTTAACTAATTTTCAAATAGATTCACGATATGGAATTCGCTCCATCTTTGGATATTATTCTAAACGAAACACTTCCTGCAATGATGAAGGTACAGTTTATGTGCAAGTGGATTGACAAGGTCAAGGTTCCGAACATAAAGATTTTGTTTTAATTATATGTAATATGTATTTCAGCTGAAGGAAAGTGGAAAGGTGAAATTTATTGGCGTCACGGGCTATCCACTTGAGAATTTTAGGTACGAAAATTAAGGTTTAAGAGTTTTGTATGGACAGCTTACCAATTCAGAGTTTCCACTGCGCATCCACATGGCGCGTTCTGCAATGGTCAGGATAAATCGCACCTGAGACCAGAAGCTTTAAAATGTGCTTGCCAAAGTATTCGGCTGTAATTCACACATTTATGTTTCACTTATAGGCATAATGTCCATTAAATATTACTTTTTAATGGAATATATTTTCTAATTTATAGCAAAACTACCGTGCTGAAACTAGTTGTTTTTTAGCAACTTTTTGCATACTCCTGCAATGTGACCGAACCAGGGCCGTCGCGAAGCGGCTAAAGCAGGGGGTGTAGTACCGTATTTGCCAACATTATTATCTAATTCTTATTCAATTCGTTTTTTGACCACTACGAAAACAATTTGCCGACAAATCCGTCATTTTACCGAAAAGATGTTTTCTGGGGGGAGGTGTCACACCCCCACACCCGCTCTAGCGACGGCCCTGGACCGAACAATTGAATATGTTTAAAATATGCATATTCTAATTCTTTCAGTCTCAGGTATGGATGCCCAGTGAAACTCTGAATTGGTTTATGAAGAAATATATATATATAAACTCCATATTTATATATAGCGCAACATTTAAGTTAACTCATTCAAGAAGATGAGTGCAAGTGTTGTATAGTTTAGGCTTATCTTTGTGCGTATTGGATATAATAATACAGGCTCCGAATACAACAGGTCCCAGGATGCATTACGTCATCATGGCTTCGTGTTTGACCTATAGCTTTTTTATAGGCGAGTATTGGAGAAAACGACAGTTCCTGTCGATACTATTTTATCATATTGTCATTGTTCAATGAATGATCGAACACTTTTGGACTACATAGATGAATTTAAGGTACTAGCTATGTAGTTTTATAGTTATTTTAAAACATTCTTAACCTATTTTCGTGGTTTTAAATCTCCAGCAATTATTTTGAATTTGATATATCAAAAATTAAACAAATGTTTGGAAGGTAGTTCTTTAATTTAAGCTTAACAGAATGTTTGCACGGTCGAGTGATATATGCATGTATGGCCGTCCTGAGCACGTGCAGGATTATTCAAACGTTTGTGGTGACTGTGAATTCTTCAGCTGGATCAGTTAAATGACGTGTGAGATTTCAAAGTCATCAGCTGCGATAATATGGCGATTTTTCTGCAAACTAGTCTATTGTCGTTCATTACCGTTTGCTGTCGTTTATGCGCACCCTCCGGCCCAGCACTTTCCTGGACGGATATGAATTCAAAAAAGATTATAGACTCTGTCACACTTCAATCTGGTTGGTACCTCGTTGGCCAAAACTTGCGAAATTTACAAAATGTTAAAACACAATGCTTAGCTTGCAGTTGATTCGAATTTTTTATAACAAAATTTTCCTGTTTCTGTTTTGACGCTAGAATGATTCGGCATATACGCATGTTTTCAAGAATTCTTGAGACGACGGTCATTATTGACAGTCTAGTCTTCGGCTTTGGAAGATAATATTGACTCCGTCTTAATAATTTCACAGTGAGCTCATTCATTCATAGAAATACGACGTGGGAATAATCAATGCATCCCCAATTTCCATGGGTTTGTTGTCCAACAGAGGACCGCCGCCATGGCATCCTGCTTCTCAAGGGATAAGGAGTGCATGTAAACAGGCAGCTGAATATTGCCAGGTATGGATTAATCTTAAACGTGGAGGGCCACTGTAGAAAAGTATTTAGTCTGTGTTTCCGATATCAGAATAGTTGAAGTCCAGTTGGAGTTACTGATCTGCAACAGATGTGGTTTTGAGTAGAATTTTCTTCAAAACGGAGTAAACATCTGATTCCCTTCACTATAGTACTAATATATGCCCAAAAGTCGCAGTTTAGTTGTTACATGCAGGCTGCTATTTTGAGTACTGCGGTAAGACTCTCGTTTGTTTTCTTATGCTCGCAGAGCCAAGATATCGATATTTCTAAACTTGCGATGAAGTTTTCCCTGGGTGTAGAAGAAGTAGCAACAACTCTTGTGAGTACAGCAAGCTTGAGCAATCTACGAAAGAACATTGAGGCAGTTACGGAGGGATTGACTGATGTAGAAAAACAAGCAATGGATTATATCATAGAAAAGTAAGTCCTGAGTGGCTTTCTCTGTTTTTGGTGCATGTAATTTTAATAAAACATTTCCCCTCTGTAACCAAACCAAACGGGAAGCATTTTGTTTAGGTCCGGAGGTGAATAGTGCAAGGATATTCGGAGCTGAGCAACCAATCAAATTGCTCGAAAAGCACTTCACCTCCCGAGTATATGCTAATATGCATTAAGAGGAGATTTTTTTGTATGTTACGTAACACACGTTCAAAAGTAATATTGCGTATAATATATCACTTGAGGTTATGACTAAATTCAAAATTTTTATTTTTCGATACGTTTCTCAATCGGCAAACAAACTGAAAAAGTATGTTCAGTGTTTTATCTGTAAAATAATGTATCATCTAAAATGAAGAGATTTTAGATGATACGCCAAAGAGAAAATGATGTCTGAAGTTCAGTAAGTTTTGCTCATATGGCTGTAAATATGGCGTCAATTTTAAAGCAACATTGATAATTATATTTTAATTGATAATTATATTTTAATTTAACTATTATTTTATGTTTCTCAACCGGAAGATGCATTTAAAAAGGTAGCTAACTCGATAAACTAGAGAATAAAGCTAAAACAAAGTAATTTTGAGAGGAAGGCCAAAAAGATTTTAGGTTTTGAGCACTTTTCATTGCAAATACGTGACATTGAAAAAAATTGCCTCTTAATAGACTCGAGCGGTCTGTGCCAGCGTATAATAGCGAAAATAACACTAGAAAGCTGCGGATTGAGAGGGTTCAACTACCTGAAATACTATACTTGTATTTTTCAGGTAGTTGCAGTGCTGTAAGTAACTTCGTTATAAGTAACGAAATTACAAGTAATCGTTACTTTTTGAGTAACTGTAACGGTAACTAGTTACCTTTAAAATAAGGTTACTGACTTACTGCATGTAACTGTAACTGTAACGAGTTACATTTTGGCCTAGAATGAAACGATAACGCGTTACTTTTATAGCCAACGTTTACGTTACTTTTTTCGTTACATTCTTGTGGTTAAAACTTACAATTCACCTCTCAGTTCTCGAAATTCTCCTCACGGGTTTCTACGACAACGCATGCTTCAGTGCTTACAACACAGCTGAGAGATCCATTAGTGGTAAGGTTACATAACGTTTACAAATAAGTAACGTCAATCTGCTTACCACTAATCATTAAGTTGAAAAAAACTGGTGTTTTTCTTACTTGAAGTAACTTGTAACTAGTTACAAAAATATTGAAGTAATTTTGTAACGGCAACTAGTCACATTTTTTTAAGTGTAACTTTTACCAGTAACTAGTTCTTTTTTGGGAACGTAACTGTAACTGTAACTAGTTCCAAAAACTTTTACAGCACTGGGTAGTTGAATCCATCACAATCCGCAGCTTTCTGGTAATATGTATTAGCGTTTTTGGTGATACTAATATTTTTCATTTAGTTATTTTAGGCAACTTGAAGATAAGACTTGGGAAGGTGTAGAAGTAAATGAATACTGGAATAAATTAAAACAGCTTAAAGCTCCTTAAATCGAAAGGTAAATTTTTGAGGTGAACTGAGATTATTGTGACGAACAAGTTTTCCTTGGCGTCTACTCAGTACACGAATAAAAGATTGCGTAATAATGACATGCAGTGTTATGTGACCGAAGTTGGTCAATAAACCAGCGCATATACTCACGAGCAAGGAATACTTTTTCGATATTTTAATAATCCGTGGTCAACAACGTTATGAAATTACCGGGATTTTCTTCGCAACTGCGAACCAGCCAGTCAGATTGAGTCACACGATAGGATAAATCTCAGTCATGCACTGTCCACAAATTAATTGATCTATCTATTAGAACTGATCTATCTATTAGAATGACTATACTTCATTATACAGGGCCCGTGTAATTGGCGAAAGCTGTAGCGTGTGTATGCCATGTATAGCATGCCTTTGGCGAAGTTAAATAGCTAGAAAGCTTGTAAAACATTTATGCTTTATTCATGAAGATGAAAGTTCGCATATATGTACTTTATACTATATTTGCAAATTTAGCAAATACATTTGGCGAATAAATTCGTATACAAATTACTCTCGAATCCAATGGGCCTTATGCAGGTTTCCGTCCAATTTCCAGGAAATTCAGTTGCAATACTGGACGTTTTATGTACTGTTTATATCATTACGAGTGTTCACCAAAAATTTTGAATCAATAGGATTAATTCCTCCTGAGTTAGACCGTCTTGAAAAATAAAAGTGCTGACGTCAGCATTATTTTCGAACGTCTTGAGAAACTGCGTTGTACACAAAATTTAGTTAAAAATTCTTGTGAAGGTTAAGACGGGACTCCTTACCTGATATAAACAAGAATCTAAACATTTTGGCCCAAGCGCAAATGCTTGGTGGTATAAAATGACCAATTTTATACCACCAAGTGCTTATCCAAAAATCAAATGCTAAAATATAGGGGTGCACCGGAACCAGTTTTTTAAGTTCCGGCCGGAACCGGATCCGACCGGAACTGGAAAAAAGTTCCGGCCGGAACCGGAACTAATTTATTAAGCCATCAAGGCATCAAAGAGACTTTTTTTTCTCCGAGTGCTTAAACGCAGCGGTCTTGGAGGGAGTTCTCTAATTCAAGTCTATACCACATGTATACGACCTGTGCTTGAATATGCATGCCAGGTTTGACTCCCCTGACTATTTAAAGGAAGAAATCGAAAGAATTCAGAAGCGAGCCCTACGAATAATATGTCCTGACCTGTCATACCGCAAAGCCTTGGAAGTTCATGAAATATCGTTGCTCTCTCAAAGACGAAATAATTTATGTAAATCCTATTTTAAGAAACTTCTCAACCCGGAAAATAAATTGAATGAACTTATCCCTAATAAACGCGAGGACTTACGTACTTACAATCTACGTAATCATCAGCATATTAACTTAATTAATTGTAAGACTACAAGATTTAGTAAAAGTTTTATTCCTTCTAGTATCGTATCATATAATGATTCATTTTAATTGTAATATAAATTTTAGTTTTAATATACCGTATATTACTATATGTATTAGTTTTACCATGTATTTTAAATGTCAACTCTGTACAATTCAACTCTTAGCTGCCATTCAGATTTTGTAATAAATTCAATTCAGTTCAATTCAATATGTTACTTTGTCCGCTGCCAGACAGGCAGACACTTCAAGTCATCAAGGAGAGAGAGCTCGCCAGTGTTTCCACTCCCAAAACAATAATTTCCTTCTCCATAACCCGAAATTTCCTTTTTTCCACAAAATTTCCTTCCACAAAATTTCCTTCCAAAAATCTCTAAATATCCTTCCATTTTTCCTTCAAAATTTTTATCAAAATTGACAGATTTACCTGGTAATTAACATCTAAACTCTAGTATTGAAACACATTATATTAATTTATAGCAGATAACTTTGTATTTTACCGGCTAAATCAGCTCATATTCGCCCCCGCGGGGGACAAAAAGCATAATAATTGGGGCTACTTGCTGTGGGTGCGAAAAGAGATTCCATAACTGTTTCTTGCATCTCTCCCCTCTGCCACGACTGCCACGCTAAGCAGCCCCCCCCCCAAGTAGAGTCTGAGAAATAATACCCTGGGTACGAGGTTTGGTTGTTATTTCAATATAGCGATTCTGGGGTTCTGTGCTAGATACATAGTTGCCAACTTTGAAAAAAAACATCCATGAGGTGTCGCTTTGGGGGGCCCACAAGGCGCCACCATGGTTGGCGCCGAGCGGAAAATTTTGAAAATATGGATTCTCTAGATCGTTGGAAATGGCATTTTCAGAGTCTTCTTTTGCACAAAATTGTATGAAAATTGCCTTATTCTTAGAAATTATGATATAAAATAGATTTCCTTCTCATTTCCCTCCTTATAACAATATTTCCTCCCAATTTCCTTCCAAATGCTATTTCCTTCCAAATTTCCTTCCAAAGGCCCAAATTTCCTTCTGGAAGGAAATTTCCTTCCAAATGGAAACGCTGCTTTCAATGGGCACTTTATATTAATAGTAGTGTTTACAACATTTATAAATTTTATAAACAGCTTTCGTTTTGACACAACTCACACAACTGTCAAGTTTAAATTTTTTGCTTTATATATATTCTTAATAATACAAGTGAGATTTAAATGTTTTGCTTTGTGGAATAGAATACCGTTATTTTTTAATGGACAGCTTGTATCGTCTTTATCATATCCAGGATTGCTTGTAAAT